TTGGTGACAGGCAAAATTGTGGTGGATGAATTGAAAATAGACAAAAAAATTAAGAGTGAAGAATGGTGCCTTCCTTACCTGGGCCCCAGGTAAGAGGGGTCAGGAGGAGCCTGTATCAGAAGCAGTTTCAGGTGTGTGAACCAGCCATAAACAGGAAGAAAGCAGCAAAAATTGTTAGGAAAGAGTTCAGCTGGAAGGAAGGGGTGATATTAGTCGTATAGGGTCTCTTGGGCTGGGAACACCAGGACAGATGGTGAGACTGGCTCAGTGGGGACGGTTCAAGCATCTGCTGGGAACTTGTGGAACAGCTCTTGCCCTCAAGGCTGAGCTGAGTCCAAAATGTTAGAAGATGATTCTGCCTGGTGATGTAAAATGTCCTTTGTTTGGAGACTCCTTGGCCCCTTGAGCAAAGCCTACTCCTCACAAAGCCAATGCTTATTCCCTAGAATACTTTCAGCGAAAAAAAGAAATAGTTCCTCTAAGACACCCTAAACCAATACCTGCTGTGACTAAGCCCTGTGGGCAGCTCCGCAGATGATTTATATCCTCCTCCTCCAAACTGAAGGGGTTAGAGTGGAAACAGACGCTGCGTTAAACATAGCCGAGGGCAGCGAGCAAGACAACTCTGCAATGAGATGGGGAGGAAGCGGGGCTGTGGGGCGGCTGCTGCCAGGCGTGACGCCGGTTCAGGTTTCCTCGTAGGCAGAACAGAGCTCCTTTTGGCTAGTGCCGCTTTATGGGCTCGCCTGGGTTTATTATACTGCAAATATTTTGAATTCCGCATCTTAATTTCCAGAGAGGCTTTGTTTCACTTTTGCTGCTTTTCCCCCCCCCAGTTTTGATTATTTTTTTTTTTTAATTACCACTGCCTTAACCTCTTTTTTTTGACTGGCTTTTGGTCAAAGCTGCCATTTTCTGAGCAAACAGAGGACTGGAGTTCTCCCTGCCTGGGCTCCAGCTGCAAATTAATCTCTTTTCATAGTTTCATTTTATGTCCACCCACTATCCCCACCACATTAACTTAGTCAACACATGGAAGTGAAATTTTTCCATGCAGGATCCTGCGGGTTGTAAGGCTGTTGTGGAGCACGTGACTGCCAGCTCCAGAGTTTTCTTCCACCTCTGGGTGGAAGGAAGTTTTCTCATCCCCCACATATGTGAGCAGTTGTTGGTGAGATGTGAAAATTTTTAACAACTGGTCGGTGGAAACATTTCAGAGTTCAGCATTCTCTGTGTATTTAAAGTCCCACCACACCAGCTGGGTGGAGGCAAGACCGTAGGTACGGTATGTTTGCCGTACCTCTGGTACTACCAGACCACTGCTCGGCAAATGAGCCAGCCGGGTGTTTTTCAGTGGAGTCCTGCTGTCTCTGTGGGTTTATCTCCCTCCCAGAGAGGACAGAAAGTGCAATTAATGATGATGCTGACAAATGGAGTCTGCTTAGATGTATTTTGTATTTCTACATGATGCCTTTTGCACATGGGCCTGGGAGAACTTTACAGCTATTTCGGGCACTTGGCAGATATAACCATACCTATTCCACAGGTTTTAAAACCCTGTTAGATATACAACTGCCAGGTGAAGAGGACTGTCTGGCAGTGGCACAGTATCAGAGAAAGAGCTGCAAAAATAATTCAGGACTCCTGATACTTTTTCTCCTGTCTTAGTCTCCAGGCAACAGCAAATATTTCTCCTGATTACTTTGGATGAGCAGATGCCAACGTTGATTCACAGGAAAAGGATGTAGCCACGCAAGCCATAGAAATGTTGCTTGGGATGATAGCCACAGCCCCTAAGGAGACATTAAGCAATATGGAACACATGCCAATGAAGCTCTTGAAGCTCTTGCTGTGTTTGCTATAAAGAGATTCTTGAGCACTCTTAGGTGGGAGCTTTTGTTATTTACTCTAATTACGCTACATGGAGAGAATATACTGTGTTTCACAGCTCTGGAGATGCTGGTAGGGCTTTTGGGCACTAGGAAAGTCCTGGTTTACTAAGAAGTTACAGTCACAAGATATGAGGAAACTTTTTGTCCAAGGCCCAAAGGGAGTGTAAAAGGTACACTCCTGCTTGGAAAAAGGCTGGTGCTGAAAATGTGCAAAGAGGGTCCCTGTTTATTTTCTCTCAAACTCAGGTCTTCTGTGCTGTGTTTACAAATAACACTATTTTCCCCATTATTACACTTTAAAATTTATCATGAGATAAAAAAGCCAAGAACAAACCAAACTCACCCCCTTTTGAGGGTGCCCACCCAAAATAGCTAGGGGAGCTGCAGAAAATAATTTTCCTCTTAAGTTAGGTAATGTGGGCTTTGGATTCATAGGCTGAATCTGCTGACCAAAGTATTTTTCTTCTTCCAGCATTTCTCTGAGCAGAAAAACACTTTCAGTGTGGATGAAAACAGAACTGGACATTTTTTCAAACCATTTAATAGTTTGTTTCAAAAGTGAACAGTTTGGAGGAACTTGAGGGCAGCAGCTATGGGAGTCCAGTGGTCCTGTGATGGAGGCTGGAGACAGGCAGTCCATAGGGTTATCAGTGTATCATCCAGGTTGGCAGGGACATCTAGTGAGTCACTCAGACCTTCTCTTTTAACCATGACAGGACCAATCTCATTATCCTCAAACCACTTCTCAGGCATAGAGAGTTGTCTAGTGATAGCCTTGAATGTCTCCAGAACTGAGGTGTCCACAGCATTCCCTTGTCAGGCAGTTTCAATGCTCAGGAAATTTTAACCTCTCTATATACTGAACCTGAATGTCTCCTGCGGAGGTGTGTGGCTACTAATTTTGTGTCCCATCACCTTTGGTTAATGAGACTGGAGCCAAACTTCCAGGTGAAGTCCCTGCAAAATGGCACATGTGATTTCACCTTTCAGCTTTCCTGCCAGCTAATCTCTTCCCCAGCCTGTTCTCAGACAATACGATTTTCCAAACCTTTCCATGCTTCTCTTCCCATGCCTGCTAAGAAAATAGCATGTCCTAAACCTACCCTGGACTTTCATTTTCAGCCTTTCATTTTCAGTTCTGCACTTAGTGGTGCTGTCCTGCCTTTGGTTCTTGAGATAGTAAATTTAACCTTCCTGGCCTAATCTGGGATGAGATCAGGAGAGAAGCACTATGTTGAATTATATTGGTTCTGCTAGAAATACAAGGGGAATCAGCCTCTTGTCATGACACTGTGCTGCCAACTGGGGCCCTGCTCCGTTACTGTGGGGTGTCCTGGCTCCCCTCACACAACCTGACAATGGTGGGTTCCTGGTTCTTCAGAACTTATCCCTGCTGTGCATACTTAATATCTACCTCTGATATTAGCACTGTGCTTCATGACACCCAGGATCCCTGGGCAGTCACTCCACTGTCAGACTGAGGTAGCACAGGGCCCCCACCAGTGTACTCAGAGGAAGCCATGCTCCTGCCCTTCAGTTTTCCTTCCTGAAGGAGTAACGCTATTCCCTATCCCCAGGGAACATAAGCTTTGAAACACGAGTTGATTTGTGTCCATTTACCCTTGTCTTGGTTTACATAAATTACATCTCTTAACAGCAGTCATAAAATTATCTGCTTTAAAAAAATTCAGCTGTAGAGTTTGGCCTTGTGGCCTCCCTCTGATCAGCTTATTTCCAAGGGGCAAACATGTATTGGGGAAAGAAACAACCTCTTCTTGTTTATCCAAAATGGTCATCTTCCTTTTCTATCAGCAGCTGGCTTGCCTGGTTTCCTAGTGTTGGTCAGTATAGGAAAGCACAGCAAACCTTTCACCATGTGCTGCTTCATTATTCTGAATAACTCTGTCAAGTTATTTAAATCAACTAAATCATCCAGCATCCCTCATCAGTGGCCACCACATCATCAGCATTTTAGAATCAAGTTCTGCCCTGGAAAGGAGGCCCCTTGACAAAGCAGTGATGATCCTCACTCAGGGATGTCAAATTACCTCTGGGTGTACTGTAAGTAAAATATTGTCATCTGGAAGCTGAAAGGCAGGATGGGTGATTTCAGGAATTGGTCTTGACCTGTGTTAGGATTTCAGGACCAAGAATCTGGTTTCCAGTTGTAGTAAGGAAAGAGGATAGATTAGATACCTAGTGTATCTACAGGGAAAAAATGCAATAAAATCTTATTTTAGTTGCTAATATAGAAACTATGGATCTAAATACCCTTAAGGATAGATGAGCTGGACAACCAGCAAAATCAGGTAGACACTGTTCCAGCAATGGTACCTGCACTTTATTTCTGTCAGTGAGTTTAGGTAGTGATATGGGCTCTTTCTTCATTAAAAACTGGTGGACAGTGGGGTCCAAGATGATAATTTGTACAATTAGGATTTAAAAAGAGTACATTATTCCCCCTTTTCTAGTACATAGAGATTAACTGTGAAAAGGCTAGAGCTAGCAGAAGTGTGGATTACTTCAACTTTTGCACATCTATTCTATGTGCTGCCACTGGTAGGACTAGGGCTGCCATAACTCTTTCTCACAGGTGGCAATGAGGGGTGATCAGGGATCCAACCTGTTCCTCTGCTCCACCTAAGTAAAATACAAAAAGTGGACAAGAAACAGGAATACTAAAAAAGTAAAATCCAGTCCAGCTCCAGGTAAAGGTAGTGTACCGACTCCTTTTCAGTGGTGTCTGACACATGGAACTGGTCCTTGAACTGCTATCAGTCTATGGTCTGCTAGTAAAACAAATCATAATGTTCAATACGAAGTAAGCCAGGAAGAAAGGAAGAAACCACAATTCAAGATCAAGCATCTGAGCAGTACGGAAACAAATGCTGTTGGGAGCTGGAGCCTCCAAATCCAGCCAAGGGCCCCTAACTCACAGCTTGTGCTAGATTTGAGGTGCTTTCTAAATGCACTGGGCAATGAGGGACTGTGAAAAAAGCTGCTCCAGAAACTGACTGTACCTTATCCAGCTCTTAACAGCTGTTCTGTGTCCTGCTTTACTTGCTTTGGAAATGGTTAAATAAAAATTTAAAAAAAAACAGGAGAGAGAAAAAAGAGAGAGTGAAATTGAGATCAGGAAAAGAAAGAAAGAAAGAAAGAAAGAAACATGTTTTTGGTGGAGGAGCTGAGTTCTGCACCCTAGCACTGTTTCTACTTTCAGATTGTCAGCAACCTGATTGTCAGTGTGCTGAGCAGAGAGGACAGTGTGGTGGAAATACCTATGAAGCAGTGAGAGCCTTATCAAGGTACTGTACCAGGAAATACACTGCTTTCTTTCCTCTTCATGCATGATACTGTGATTGAACCAAACAGCATACCTCATCATAACATGTGGCTTATCGACCTCACTATCTGATGACAACAGCAGCCCTCAGGAGACCAGAGTGACATCATCCAAAACCTCAGTAGTTCAGAGCAAAGACTGAAGTATGTAGCTAGGCTACGAGCTGTGCTTGACTCTGTTCATCTGTTTGTACTGAACTTGCAGGCACTTTGCTAGAGGAAAAGGTATATAAAAATCAAATCCAAACAACGTTTCAGAATGTTTCTGACAGGCATCCATGCTATTTAGAAAAAGGATGCAGCAAGCAAAGGAGGTTTTTGTCCTCAGCAAGTCCAAGAAGTCTGCTCCACAGCTTTCTGTAGCTTTGTGAGAGTGGAAAGAAAAGGCCAAATCAACACAATGTCACTGCCTGGAGGAGAGAAACAGTGCCACTGATGATTTGGTACTGAGTCCCCCTCTCAGCTGACCCCAGATAATTGTCATGGGGAGCTGTGAGGTTTGGGTTTATCCCATATCAGAAACAGAGGCCCACTATTTATCCACCTGGAGCTCTCAGTCTCCAGATCCTAAGCTTCAAGATGACTGGTTCATACTCACATTGCCTGTCTCCTTGTTTGGTTACTGCTGGGTCACCGAGGCAAAGAATGCCGACCCTGGCCTCCTGGCCTCCTTTCTCTAATTTGAGATGAGGGGAATTTCTACAGTGACAAAAATAAGAAACGGAAATAGAGAAAGGTTTTCTTGTGTAATATTCACCAGACTTCTCTGGTTTTAATTTGTTCTCCCTGTCCTGGGTTCTTCAAAACACCTTCTCTCATTTACGTCAGCATAGATTTACCATGCCCCACTTACTTCAGACCTGGACAGCACCATGGAAAAAGATTTCCAGCCTTTTGGAGCTGCTTCCTTATGCCTTGGACAAAAGTAGATCATATGGGGCCATATTCATTTGAGAACTGCCTTTGTATTTGTACAGTATCTAGAACAAGTGAGCCTACTCCTGCTTGAAATTCACTGAACGACAAAATTGATCTCAAAAAACCCTGCTTTTAGTGTTTGATTTTTGGTTAGTTTGTTTTTAATTGCAATGCAAGCTTTCAGAGGGAATATAGCCGAATTTAAATGCTGAATGCATGCATAGCAATAAAAGTAGGGCCATCCAGCACATGGATGCTAAGTGTCCATTTACAGCCCCCATTCAGGCAGCAGACACCCCTCCGGGCCATGCATGGCATGGTGGGCCATACTGCCTGCTGTGACATCAGGTGGGGGAGGTCCCAGACTTCCACTGGGTGCTGGGGTATTTTGAGATGTCTGCATCTGTTGCATGGATTTGGGGAGCTGTTTTGCAGAAGAGGCCTTGTCTTCCAGGACAGTAATTGTATCCTCACCCGGACTCGCTGCTCTCATAAACTGCTAGTTTCTTACCTTCCCATCACAGCTGCCTACCTCCAGCAGCGATGGACACGGTATGACTAACCAGTCAGGTTATGAGTGTGAGCTCTTTCAGCAACGTATAAAGCATTGAAAACTGCTAAAAAAACCCCAAAAAATAAAGGGATTTTTTTTTTTTACTGTGTCAGTGAAGGCTTGGCTTAAGGGACAGGCTGGAAAGAGGTCTGATGGAAATAAGACTTGCCCACCCTTTAGGATAGAGCATTAGATAAATCCAGCTGTGTTGTGTAACTGTTGGAAGCCTTCCAGAACAAGTGTAGGAAACTTATAGTGGTTTTTGAGACATATTTTTTTGTCTAATTTGTTAAACATATGTGAGAAATAAAGAATCGGTTTTATTACAAGCAAATATAAGGCGTATTGCGGAGTTGTAAGACGCCGGATTCAGCCGGAACCAGTGTCAGGGAAACATGTGGACGGGAATAAGGAACTGTAAAATGAATATTAGTAAAGAAACCCCTTATGCCACATGGCTGATCCTGAGAGACGCCATACTACTGGACACTCCACCTCCTAACACGACACAGCCAATCAAGGAGAGGGAAACACCTCTTCTATGACGTAAACAGGGTTGAACCTTAAGAATGTTTAAAAAGCGGGACTTTTGAATTGGAAGGTGTGTTCCTGGGAATCCAGTATGCCTAGGACACCCAACACATGTTGTAATTTTTCGTTTTCGTTTTATTCCTTTTGTTTTGCAAGCTTTTGCCGTTTTTCTAAATTTAATAAAATGAGATTTTTCTCACACATATTTCTTTGTCTTTATGAACTTTAAGGAGCCCTGAGAATGCAATGTGCCAGAGGGGGAAGGCCTACAGAAAGACTTGATAAGAAGATGGAATAATTTTAAAATATCTTCTCCTGCAATACTCTCTAAAATATTCCTACTCTGAAGCACACTTTTTTTTTTTCTGCCTGATATATACATTCCTGACATGCATCTGGCCCTGATATATTATTCAATTAATGCTTTGGTTGATTTACTCTCATCATTGCTAAAAATACTGTAAAGAAATAACTTTTAAACAAATGACACTGTGGAAGGTTGTTGATATAGGAGTTTGGTAAGAAATACAGGTGTTTTTCAGGTTTAGAGACAATTTCTTGTCCTGCTTTCTTGAAGAAGAAGCACCTTTGAATGGCTCTTGTGAAATATGCTGATGGTCTGAGCATTCACATCACCAGCTCCCTATGACAATTATCACTGATTGACCACTTGCTGGCTATCTCCGCAGCAGCCCAGGAATGGATGAGTCATGGAAACAGAGTTTTCCTTCACCCTGGCTGCCTCCCAGGCCATTCGAAGGAACTGCATTGACAACAGAGGAGGAAAGTCAGTGCTGATTTTTTTTATGCTGTGAATCATTGATCAAACAAAGCACTTCTGCATCCACAGACTTGATATCAAGGCAGCGTTTTTGATGAGTGTTACCTGAATAATTTTGTGCTAAGAAAACAATCTCAAGTAGCACTGGGCACATTATTTTGTGCAGATAATTGATTCTGTGCTACTTCAAGCTAGAAAAACATGTATCATGTTTGCAAGTAGCTTTATCAGAAGATGCTGAAAACCATTGCCATGCTTAGGTGCAGCAGCATTTAAATACTGGTTTTCATTTTCGAATGATTTTTCAAAATAGAGTTTGGTTGGATTGTAATAATTTCTAAATGACAATAGGAGAAAGAAATTAACAGATTAAGCCCTGTGTGCTCCCCTGAATAGAGAAATAGAGAATTACTACTTTGGAGGGGGTAGGGGGAAGGAGGAAGGTTCCATTTGATGAGGAAACTCAATTTTTTTTTGTTTGAGATCTGCCTGCAATATTAATCAATACTCACACACCTCTGCTACTGCAGGTCAGATATAAGTACCAATGAACCCATAGAGGGAGGTATTCAGAATTTCCCTTGAGGTATTCTCAAGTGAAAAAAAAACCTAAAAAGTTTAAAGGTATGCTGGGAGAAAGAAATATAAATCCTTTCTGAATGCAAGGCCTTTGCCTTGAAAGGAGCCTTTTGGGTTTTTTCAGCCCCGCACACAGGAGACAGTACACACTGCTGTAGTGGAGCCATCCTAAGGCAGGACCAGTGACTGTGTGGGATCTGCTCAGGTGGGTCCTGCCAGCACCTCCCTCCCTCCTTCCCCTCACTCTGTCCTTTCCTGCCCATGCCATTCATACACACAATGAGTAACCCTGTCCTCCCCTCCAAGGTCCTCATCAGGATGTTTTCTGCAAAATTTCCCTGTCACAAAGAGTTGCAATGGGTGGATGTGGCTCCAACGATTGCATGCAATGCTTCAGTGCTGGAGTTTGTCCTGGCTTCTGTGCTATGTCAGGATCCAGTGGTGCTGGGATCCAAATTTACCACTGAGGTGCTGGCTATGACTCAGAACCAGCTGGAGGTTTTCAACTCACATGCCTGTGATGTGAGGTTGCATTGATGCACTTATATTAAACAACAGCGCATAGAAATGAGAGCTGTAATAGGAATTGTACCTTGTGTCTGGCATCAAAGCCATAACCAGAGCTAACTGGGAGCCCTCAGTGCAGACACCTCCCCTTCATCACTCCCGCTTTTAAAATGGCAGAGTGGGAGTGTCATGACCCCAGTTTTTTCTTGAGGGAAATGCATCCTGACACACAGGAGATCTGCTGTGGCTGGTTGTGTCTGTCAGGAGCACTGCTCCCTGTGCCAATGCCAGGTGGGGCCTAGTAGCAGGGTGTGGGATGCCTGCTGGCAGCAGCATATCCCTTCCACAGGCAGCTCTCTCGTCATCCTCCCCTTGATGCCAGCCAGGATGTCAGGAACGGGCCGTCCTGCGTGTTTGTAACCACAGTGCCTCTCACCGCTTGTTGTGATTCTGTGCTGCAGAAGAGGCTGCAGCTGCTGGGGCAGGGAAGTAAGTGTTGCCACACCATTGGGGACACCCTGTCTTTTGTCAGGGTGAGTAGTCTGTGCTGCCTCAGCAGTTATGAATGCTCTGCCTTGCTTTTCCATTTCAAAACAATGATATTTAGGAAGAAAATGGAACTTCGTCCCCGGACATAGACAAGGATGTACTGGATTAGACAAACAGGCCATCTAATCTGTGAATCCTCGTCCACCAGTGGCCAAGCCTGGGTGCTTCTGTAGAACACCTTAACCCTCCTTGGAGCTGTGCAACGTTATCCCATGGAGAGTGCTGGGAAAACAGTGATTTAACCTGGAGCAGTGCAAGGAAAAGCAATGCAGAAGTGAATGACACACTGAGAAGCTTTCTGGTGGAAAGGGTCGTGTCATGCCACAGTTTTGCAATGCTGCCCTTTGATGGGGCATTATCCACATTTCACAGTCTGGCAGAGCAAGACTGCTGCACTGGTCCTTCCTGAGGTCTCAGAGATGGCAGCCACTGCAGAAGCACAGTGCATTTGTACAAGGGACAAATTCTCCTTGGAAGTATATGATGCCCATGTCCCTCCAGGACATAGTGCTATGGCTCACTGGTTTCTAGGTGCAGTTTTGGGTGTTGGTTGCTTCCCATAAAAAATTGAATGTCCCACAACTGGCTTTAATGAGCATTTGATTCTCCCTCTCTGTCACAGCAACTGGCAGCAGGAGTGTCTGTGCTGGAGCACCCTTGCTGGAAAAGAAAATGTCTCTGCAGGGGCACTGGGACATGCTGGGATGTGAGAAACCTCTACCAGGACTGGTCTGAATTTGCTAGTTTTCCAGTGCTACTCTTAATGCCAAATTTTGAAGACACTCAATTTTTGTGGGGGAAATGAGTCTGTTCCCCAGGATGAGGAAACTACTGAATGAGTTTGATTGGGTTTGTAATTCCCCGTGTAAGCTGAGCTTACAGATAAACTTTAGAAAGTGAGGGAAGTTCTACAAGTGCTAAAAAAAACCAATTGTAGTGCAAAAGGGTACTCAAGTTCAAATTGGACCAAATTCTCATTTTGTTCTAGGAATCATTGAAATTAAGGAATTAAAAAACCCAACAAAATAAAAAACCCTGCGACGGTATTTTACAAAATCCCAGAAGTAACAAAAAATAGCTGGTAATATGTTATGAAAAAAACTCAGTCTTATTTTCAGATAACTAGATAAGATCTGAACACAGCCATTAACTTGTGGGTAGATCTGTAACCTTCTGGTAACAGTAACCGCATTAACTGCACTTAGAGTAACTGCAGAGCCCCAGATCAGAGCTGATGTACCACTTACACCCTATCTATACTTTATTTCAAGTGATACTTGG